TGCTCAAAGTAGATGTATTTACATTAAATTTTGCCAGCTGAGGCTTAAACACCTATAAACAATCAGTGCTAGATGTGTAAGAGCTGTGGGAACTTTTAGAAAAGTCCCCAGTGTAGGTGAGGAAATTTTCTGTTCACTACTCATATCATGTCTTCAACGTATGCAACATTGCTCTGGAATATCCCAATCTTCAAAACTAAACAAAATGGCTGAATTATTTGTAAATCAGTATTATGATATAAATCATTGTTTATGCTTGTTGAATATTTTTCATCAAATACAGAAATTATACAGCTGTTTCTAGACCTGTAACCCTTTCCTTCACCTTCCTTTCTCTCTTACTGGTAATACATGAAAGAAAAATTTTGACTTTCTTTAATATTAGTCTCCAGAGATTCACTTTATTCATAGAAATTGATCCTGAATTGATTTTCTCTGCTTTCTTTCCAGTCATAGGGCAGGCTTTTCCATGTTCAGCAGCAGGCTTTCTCCTGCAAGTGTGCTGAGGTGTGGTCTAGGTGTGTTCAAATCTGTCTTAGTCATTCATCCTTCACCTTGTCATTAGCATGGCGTCTGTATTTAATTGGGCTTCCTTCCTTCATCAGAAATCAGTTTTTATATACCATGAAAACTACAGCCCATTATTAAAAGTTAGCTCTAAGTGAGATTCTCGGCTCTTATTTGTACAAGAAGCAGTGAAAAGAGTATCTCAAGTATTCCTTCAGATGAGTGGTATGTGTGAAGAATGTACTATGTGCAAGTCTGGTATTCTATCTCAAAGCCTTCTATTTCTCAAGTTTTACCTCAAAAGCAACTTGCTTAAGAGGGGTTTTTTTGCAATCTGTTGAGTTGCTTGGTAGGTTGTAATCACCAACGACTTTCACTGGTTGCATCTTTGCCTCACACAAAATGCTGCCAAATTATTGTTGTGGTTAGTGTTTCAATTGTCTTTAGAAACAGCACTCTATTTTGTGTATAGTAAGGGTTGGTCCCTCCCAGAAAATGTTTACATTTTGAAGGGAAAATGAGAGAAAATATTACCCTGCGTTTAGAAAGTGAGATGCTGTGCTTGAGAATCTGAGGCTCCTGGTGGACACCAAGTTGACTCTGAGCCAGCAGTAAGATCTTGCAGGAAATGCAGACAATGACACCAAGATGAGTGGTGCAGTTGCCACACCTGAAGCACAGATGCCATCCAAAAGGAACTGGATAAGCTTGAGAAGTGGGCCCATGGGAAACTCATGAGGTCCAACAGGGCCAATTGCAAGGTGCTACACTGGGTCAGGGCAACCCCTGGTATCAATCCAGGCTGGGGGATAAACAGATTGAGAGCAGCCCTGCTGAGAAGGACTTGCGGATGCTGGTGCATAAGAGGCAGTGGATGAGAGGCTGGACATGAGCCAGCAAAGTGCACTTGCAGCCCAGAAAGCCAATTTATCCTGGGCTGCATCAAAAGCAGTGGGGCCAGCAGGTTCAGGGAGGGGATTCATCCCCTCTACTCTGCGCTTGTGAGATCTCACCTGGAGTGTTGCATCCAGCTCTGGGGTGCCCAGCAAATGCAAAGGTGAAGAAGAGGGCCACAAAAATGAGTAGAGGGCTGGGACTCCTATGAAGACATCTTAGAATAGCTGGATTTTTTCAGCCTGGGGAAGAGAAGGGTCTGGGGTGACCTTATTGTGGCCTTCTAGTTCCTAAAAGGGTCCTACAGGAGACCAGGAGAGGGACTTTTCACAAGGGCATGTAGTGATATATCTAGGCTTTAAACAGAAAGAGAGTAGATTTAGATTAGATATAAGGAAGAAATTCTTCACTATGACGGTAGTCAGGCACTGAAACAGGTTGCCCAGACAAGTTGTGGATGCCCCATCCCTGGAAGTGTTCAAGGCCAGGTTGGATGGGGCCTTCAGTAACCTGGTTTAGTGGAAGGTGTTCCCGTTCATGGCAGTAGGATTGAAACTTGATGATCTTTAAGGTTCCTACCAACCAAAATCATTCCATTATTCTATGATTCTGTAATTCCACGTACTTAAGCTGCATTAAGTGCATTGCTAGCAGGTCAAGGCAAATGATTCTTCCTCTCTATTCATTCCTAGTGTACCGATCAGGAGTCCTGCATCTAGTGCTGGGCTCCACAATGCAAGAAGGACATGGACATACTGGAGTGACTTCAGTAAAGTGCCACAATGGTGACTGAAGAATTGCAGCATCTGACATATGAGGACAGGCTGAGAGAGCTGGAAATGTTTAGCCCAGATAATAAAAGGCCTGTGTAAATTTTAACAGTGTGTGTAAACACTTGATTTTTGACGAGTAAAGTAAGAGATAACCTGTGCTCAGTGGGATCCAGTGACAGGACAAGGGGCAGTGAGCACAAATTAAAATAAACGAAGTTCTATTTAAATCCAGAGAAAACCTGTTTCAGTGTCAATGTTCTCAAACAAGGAAGGCAAAACCCAGCTGGACACTGTCCTGAGCAACTGACTTAAAATGACCCTGCTTTGAGCATGGGGTTGAACTATGTGGCCTTCAGAGTTCCCTTCTTCAATGCCTCTGTCATTCTGCACCCAGGATGCACACCTGAGCACAGGATGTCTGCTGTCTGCTTTGACCCAGCTGAACTTGGCACAGGATCAGAGGGGACTGCTCCCCACATCCCAGATCACAAGATAGTAAGCTGATCTAAAGACTTGCTCTATTTAACACCCTTGTTCCTAGGCTTCCACCCCCTGTCCCCAGGCCATGCTTGTAACTGGGATCACCTGCATTCAATGGCATCCCAGCTGCATTCTTCTCTCCTGGGCACAGGGCCATGTGAGTAGCCCAGGAGTTGATATCACAGCTCTTGCTGCCAGTGGATTCCCCGTCTGGGAGTGGATAGTCAGGTACACATACAGCAGCACTTGCTAATACATCAAAACAGTGTTTTAAGCCCTGCACCTCTTAGAATCATCACTGACTTCAACTGGAGAAAATCAACACCAGTCATGGATTATACAGGAGACAAAGCAAGCTAGGTCACAAAAATTCAAATTGTCCTGGTGCACCAAGTCTTGTCCTTGGCCTTAGTGGTAGCAATGCTATAGTCACTAGAAATCATGTTGTGACTCTCTTGTTCATAAAATACATTGGGGCAACTGAGAAGTGTATGAATGTTTGATATGAAGAAACAGCGGGTTCAGTTGAAGGAAAATGGGTTTGAATCTAACAGGGTGATTGTATAGTCATGAATAATAAAAAGCCACGTGTGAAACACATTCAGTAAAGTTAAGTGTCCAGTAAAACTAGTTTCGACATCATACTAATCTCTAAAATTATAATGCATGAGTCACAGCCCTTAGATGATCTTAACCTTTACTAGAGGATACCCTGCTTTGTGTGCAGCAGCACAAACAACTGAGCAAGGACCTGTGCAGACCTGGTGAATACAACAGGACACTTTTGACTTTACTGTAAGTAATGCTTTTTTTATTCCTGTGTGACAGTAGGACAACAGTTTTTGAATAATCAATCGAAAAATTGTCGTATTTTGGTTTAAAGCTTCTTGTACTGTTTTACTATGATTTTGTTTTTTTTAAATAAAAAAAATAAGTCCTCTGTTAGATAGGCGTGTTTATATGGCATAACTCTCCTTAGAAAAACTACATTCCTAAGTGTTTTAAATGAAGTAAATTGATGATAGTAACAAATGTAAGGCATGAAATGAAAAGGAAATGTGGACTTAAGGATTGCTGTCTAAAGCATCTAGAGGCTCCTAAAAAAAAGAAACTGTGGCTAAAAGAATTAGAGTAAGAGTGATGGTGGAAAAAGTCACAAACAAATCAAGGAGCTTAAATTTAAATATGTTCTAGATACAAAAGTGCACTGACTGAAAGTGGTTTGTCGTGGGATTCAGGCCCTTCCTAGTGATAGTAGTATTTCTATGGCCACGATATTCAAAGACTGTGAATTAAGGGACATTTAGAGCATATATTATTAAAGCAGAGATCAGCATTCTTAGTTCACTGGGTTTTAGAGAACAAGATGCTGGAAAGTGGAGAACACAAATGTGGGGCCATGGTGGGAGCTGATTGGAATTCAATGAATTTACAAGGCAGTCTGCATTTCTCAGTGCAATTCAGAAACCCAAGGTATTTTCCTCCTAAAGAGTACTTTGTTTTATAAAAGATTCTGTAGGTGAAATGATCGCATACCACAAGTGGATATTCTAGATTTCCAAATATTTTCCATCTTTACTTCTTTCTCTCGATTGACACAAGATATTGAACCACTTGTGATACAGTATTAATTTCTAGAGGTAAAAGTATTGCCACAAATGTGGAATGAATGGTTTCCATGCTGCAGGCACGGTTGTTTCCATTTGCTGTTTGTTCTATGTACATATGCATTTTGCCTTCCTTAATAAACAGCACTGTATTTCCATGGTCTTGATAACATCCTAATTGCTGTTTTTCTCTTTTGTTATTTATGTGGGTATTGGCTTCTTTCAATGGTGCTCAATTGTTCAGCCTTTATGAAATCACTGTTAATGTTCATCAGCTCCTCATTAACAAGTGCATTTACTTTCTCTTTGGTGCCTGCATATGGGTTTACATGGATCCTATTAAAAAATGTATAATATTTTAACTTTTACAATGAAGGAATATTGTGTTTTAATTCTGCTTTGATTTTTCATCTGTTAAATTTTTACTTTCTGCTCTATAGATCTGTACTTTTGACTCACAACTCTTAATCACTTAAAACCACATTGAAAAGAGAACATTGGAAAAAAACAGTTTCAAAGGAATTGCAGACTAACTCTAATGAGGGCATCTTTGGTATTACCTCATCCCTCTTTAACTTTGATTTTTTTTATTTCATAACCTCTTCAGTAGGTTGAGTAATTTTCCACAGTCTACTTCCTTGAAATAGAAAGCTGGTACCCCTCAGTTCAAATGTCTTGGAATCACTGGTACTAAGCTAACTTTTTATAGTGAAGGAATTGATGTGTTGCTAAACACAAGGTGAAAAGATTTGTAAGCCAATTGTAAATTTTCTTCTATTACAGAGTCACAGAAACATGAAGAAGTTGTTTCTCCTGTGTCTTTTACTTGTTGGAATTAGTTCCAACAGTTATTGCTATGAGCCTAATCACCAAGGGGTAAGAAACCAAAATCAAAGAGCCCAAGGAAACCAAAACATGCCATGGCAAAGTGTAAGGAACAGTGTTTGTCGATTTGCATGTTGTTTCTACAAAGAGATTTCTTCTTACGAAAACAATCGGAATGTTTTCTTCTCTCCTTTGAGCATCTCTACTGCCTTTGCAATGCTGACTCTGGGTGCCAGATCAGACACCCTGACGCAGATTCTTAGGGTCCTTTGCTTTAACCCACGCGAGATTTCTGAAAATGACATACATGAAGGTTATCGTCAACTCATGCAAATGGTAAACAGAAAGAATGGGGGCTTACAGTTGAATATGGGAAATGTTCTGTTTGTGCTTGACCGACTGAAGCCACAAGAAAAATTTTTAAGTGATCTCAGAAACTTCTATGAAGGAGAAGCTTATCCTATGAACTTCAAGAAGGCTGATCAAGCCCAGCAAAAAGTCAACAAATATGTAGCAGAAAGAACCAATGGAAAAATCAAGGACCTTGTAAATAACCTTGATCCACTTACTGAAATTCTCCTCATTAGCTATATTTATTTTAACGGTAAGATACACATATCATATTCTTCTATTTCATAATTTATTTCCTCAGGTCAGTCTTGGACTTCATCACCTTTTTTTGCAATATGGTTTTGCAGATGGACTCATATCTTGTTTTCCCTTTGGTCCTCACTTACACTTAGTTACAAACAAAGCTTTTGAAAATTATGTTCTACCTGACGCTGATTCCTAGCAAAATGTATGGCGAATTTTCCCATATTTTTTAATAAACTTCTTTCCTTCTGAAGATTTAGTGAAATATATGCTGAGGAAGGCACCTCTAGTTAGGAAAGATTAGATGCTTTCCTAATCGTATACAATCTAGTGGGATTCAAGCACTTTCTTAAATGCTTTGCTATCTAGGAATTAATTTGAAGTCCAGTTCTGTGGATTTCAGTTGGTGTTTTGTTCAGCAAGTCAGGAGTTAAATTTAAAAAATGCTGTTAAAGTAAAATGTAGCATCTTACCAAATAGAAGTATGTTTACTCCATAGTTTTGCTGTTACTGTGTATGTTCATGTATCCAAAACTAAACAGTCAACAACTTCGGTTTCACACTGGTGTTCTCCCTATTTTTTTACTAACTATGCCTTTGCCAATCGTATGTCTGTAGTCCTGATGTGTCTAGAGGCATAGGTTTCACCCTTTTTTTTTTGATTTGCAGATTCTAATATTTTCCAGTGAAGATGGACCCACCAGTATCAGATACAAGCCTATTGACAATAAGCTTGTTTTTCTTAATTAACTTGTGCAGTCTGCTTAGATACAGTCAACAGATCTTCCCAGAGCTTTTCAGACTGCTGATCTAATGAGAAGACGAGGATCAAGGCTGTAAGGCTCAATCAGTGGTCTAATAACAGATATTGCATCTTCTTTCCAACCTTCTCTCTCTTACTCGTATGCTGAAAACAAAGCAATTGTACTCAGAAAAATAATATCCTATAATCTATCTGATAAAATTACCATTAAGCTTTTTAATTGAAGTGGAGATGACACAATAGGAATGCGATTCTTTTTAAAAGGAAAAGCTAGGAAAAGCTATTCTTTTAAAACTGTTAACCTGGATGTTTGCACACTGCAGTATGAGGGTTCCCCTGCAAGTAATTAAGAACTATATTTTTTGGGGGGGGGGGATTTCTGTTGTTTTTCATCGGTGTCTCTGCTCCTTATATTAATCTCTGAAGATCTGGCCACGGTTAAATGGAGTTGATTGAATTATAGATGACTGATGTTTCTTAATTCTCTTGAAAACATACTTGTTTGGCTCAAATAATGTTTTCACTTAGGCTTTTATTGAGCAACAGGCACATCTTTCAAAACAGGCAAAAACCCCTTTCTTTTACTGAAAGGTGTTTGAAGAATAAGCAATAAATTTAGTAGCACAATTGAGACAAAAGCCTGAGAAACTTTTATTTAAAATAACTTTGTATTACAGTTAACTTTTACATGTTCTAAAAATGTGGGGTTTTTTTTAATTAGATGTTCATTTTATTACTGAAATGATTTCCTGCCTTCTCCAAATATGGTGGAGTTTCAGTTTTAGCTCTTTGATTTTAAAGAAAATAGATTAAATAATAGCATTAATAGCAATAATATAACATTTTTTTATCTTGAAATCAAGAGTAGGTTAAGGTTCTAGAGGCTGGGACTAATCTGGAGAGGACCTAAAGCCCAGTTAGCTCTATAATCAGTCCATATTTCTAGGCTCTTTTCCACTGTGCATTGCAACCACCCTTGCACAGTACTGGTGACTCTCTTTCCCCTTTTTTTTGTGGTGTACTGCAGTACAGAAGTCCTTCCCTAAGGACAAAAGCCTGTCTCTGAGCCAGTGGGTATATTATTCCACTGTATTACACCAGCCCCTTATCATGCCCTTGTCGAGCTGATCACCACAAAGACTACCCCAAAGTTCATTTTTCCACTTGAACACTGTGAAGCATTTGACAAAGGTCTCATCCCTAGAAGGTAGACCCCTAAGATAGAGGTGAGGATAAGAATAAATGTTCCTTTGAAACAGGAGGAAAGTATTAGTGAATATCATCTATTCCTTATATCTAGTCTAAATCTAAATCTGCTCTCTTTCAGTTTAAAGTCAGTCCTCTGTGTCCTATCACTATCTGCCCATGTAAAAAGTCGTTCTTTGTAGGCCCCCTTTAGGTACTGGAAGGGGCTTTAAGGTCTCCCCTGAGCCTTCTCTCCCCCAACTCTCTCTCTCAGGCTAAACAACCCCAACTCTCTCAGCCTGTTTTCATAGGAGAGATGTTCCTGCCGTCTGATCATTTTCATGACCCCTCCTCTGGACTTACTCCAACAAGTCCATGTCCTTCTTATGTTGGACACCTCAGAGCTTAATGAAGTACTCTGGGTGGGATCTCACCAGAGTGAAGTAGAGGGGAAAATCCCATCTCTTGACCTGCTGGCCACACTTCTTTTGACATAGCCCAGGACACAGTTGGCTTTCTGGGTTTCAAGCGCACATTACTGAGTCATGCTGAGCTTCTCATCAACCAACACTCCCAAGTCCTTCTCCTCAGGTCCGCTTTCAACTCGATCCATTCCCTGCCCCGCCTGTATTTGTGGTTGGGACCTTGCACTTAGCCTTGTTGAGCTTCATCAGGTTCCAACGGGGCCACCTCTCAAGCCTGTCATGCTCCCTTTGGATGGCATACTTTCCCTCTGGAGGACATCCCTTCCTTACAGCATGTTGACTGCATCACGCATCTTGGTGTCATTGGCAAACTTACTGAGGCTGCACTCAATCCCACTGTTCGTGTTGCCAACAGAGATGTTGAACAGCATTGGTCCTAATCCAACACTGAGGAACACCATTTGTGACTGGTCTCTTGGAGAACAAGCCATTGACCACAACCCTTCAAATGCAACCATCCAGGCAATTGCTTATCCACCAAATGGACCATTTGTCAAATCCAAATCTCCAGTTTAGAGAATAGGATATCACGTGGAACAGTGTCAAATGCTTTGCACAGCTCCAGTTAGATAACATCAATTACTCTTCCTTTAGCACAGCTTGCCCTTAGTGGTCATGTTGTCTGACACTAGTCACCTCCTAATTTTCCACCTATCTTACCATAGATTCCAAAAGGATCTGCTCTGTGAACTTGCCACACAAAGAGGTGAGACAGACTAGTAGTTCCCTAAATAATTTTTTTTTTTTTACTTTTTAAAAATGAGAGCTATTTTTCCTTTTTCCAGTCAGTGGGAATTTCACTGGACTGCCATAACTTCTCAAATATGACAGATAGTGTCTTAGCCACCTCATCCACCAGTTCCCTCAGGATCTGCAGATGCATTTCATCAGGTCCCATGAATGTGTGCATGAACAGTTCCTTAGATGGTCTTGAACCTCATCTTCTCCTATAGTGGTCAGTTCTTCATTCCCTCAGTCTCTGTTTTTGCCTTCTGTGACCTGGGTGGTGTGGCTGCAGCACTTGCCAGTGAAGACTGAGGTAAAAAATGTCATTGAGTACCTCAGCCTTCTCCACATTACGGGTAACCAGGCTTCCTTTTTCCTTCTGGAGGGGGTTCACATTTTTCCTAGTCTTCCTTTTGTCATCATCATACTTATGGAAGCTTTTCTTGTTGCCCTTGATGTCCCTGGCCAGATTTAATTCTATCACACCTTTAACTTTCTTAATCTAATTCCTGGATACTCAGAAAATCTCTTTGTATACCTCCCAGGTTACCTGTCCTTGTTTCCACCCTCTGTAGGCCACCTGTTTGTGTTTGATTTCACCCAGTAGCTCCTTGTTCATCCACACAGTCCTCCTGGTGTTTTTGCCTGACTTTCTCTTTGTTAGGAGAGATCACTCCTGTGCTTGGTGGAATATTAATATGAATATTCATAGAATCATAGAATCACAGAATAACTAAGGTTGGAAAAGAACTACAAGACTGAGTCCAACGTTTGACTGAACACCACCATGTCAACTAAACCACAATGCTAAGTGCCACTTCCAGTCATTTCTTGAACACCTCCAGGGATGGCAACTCCACCACATCTCTGGACATCAAATTCAAATTTCCGACAACCCTTTCAGTGAAGAAATTCTTCCTGCTGCCCAACCCGAACCTTCCCTGGTACGCCTTGAGGGCATTTCCTCTTGTCCTATTGCTAGTTGCCTGTGAGAAGAGGCCAACTCTCACTTCACTTCAACCTCCTTCCAGGTAGTTGTAGAGAGCAATAAGGTCCCCTCTCAGCCTCCTTCAGGCTAAGCAACTGTTTAGCTCCCTCAGCTGTTCCTCACCTGACTTACTCTCTAGACTGTTCACAAACTCCATTGTCCTTCTCTGGACATGGTCCAGCACCTCCATGTCCTTTGTACAGAGAGGGGCACAAAAATGAACACAGGATTTGAGGTGCAGCCTCACCAGTGCTGAGTACAGCAGAATAATCACTGTCCTGGTCCTGTTGACCACTCTACTGATGATACAGGCCAGGATGCCACTGGCCTTCTTGGCCACCTGGGCACACTTCTGGCTCATGTTCAGCAGCTGTCAAACAGCACCCCCAGGCCCTTTTCTTCTGGACCTTTTTCCAGCCACTCTTCCCCCAGCCTGTAGTGCTGCATGGAGTTGTTTGGTGATACAGCTTTCTTGGTCCTCTGTTCCCTCCATGACTTTATCCCGTGGCACTCTACTAAGCAGATTGCTGAAGAGACCAAAGTCTGCTCTCCTGAATTCCAGAGTTAGCAGTCCTAACATCCTACTCCGTTTTCAATCAAGCGAAGTTCTTTGTGAAAGCAGTGGGTGTTTTCCCTGAGTTGAGCACTAGATAAAGGTTGTTTCAATGTTTCAGGACTTGAGTCATTCATGTTTCTGTTATTCATTCTGCTTTATTTTTTCCCTTAAGCATAATAAGGTAGAAGTCCTGCCTGTTATATACCTGATGACAGAAGTCACTATTAATGAAGAAACATAAAAGTAGAAACTTTTCCCTCTTCAGAGTATTACCAGTTGTCAATCTATACTTTCAGAGCCCAAGACATGCCCTAAATTCCCATTTCACTTTTTTCAAATACTAAGTGCAGGCTATGTCAGATGGTGGAAACAGCAGAAGATAATTATTTCATTTGTAACAAACTGCCTAATAATCAATGTTCAAATAGAAGTCAGAAGTCAAAAGTGGTTGCATATTGTTTCATTGTTTTCTTGATGGCAGTTACTTTACTAAGCATCACAACTCTAGTTTTGCCTAATAAATTTGATAAAATGTTAGTTTTGCTCTAGAAGGCAAAATTTACTGCAGACCAACAACACTCCTTAAAAATAAAAGCAACAAAGAAACATTTCCAAAAACCCCCACCCTTTTTTAAAATCTGCTCAGCCTCTGAAATTAATGATGTGGATACGTGGAATTTGGCTTAGAAATTTTTCTCCACTGAGGATAAAAATCTTTCAGAGTTCCGATGTAGAGAGTTTGTTTCACCATGACTAAGTGAGGAGCCTTGGAAAATTTAATATTGTGAGGATGCAGTGGAAAAAGTTTCTGTTGTTGTTTTGCTTTTTAACCCAGCAGTCTGGTAGAATTAAGTTCCTCATGACTCTATACATTATCAGCTAATGCGAGATATAAACACCTTGTCTCTGAAAGTAACCAAATTCCTTAATTTCTCTGGAGAATTCATCCCTCATGTCACCCTTTTCAAGTCTACTTTGATCTGGGAATAAGGAAAGGAGAGAATATTCTCCAGAGCTCAGAGAAAGCATGGGGGCTTTACAGACTCCTTAAAACTGTTGTCATTGTGGAAAAGTGGAAGTTAGAACCTTTGATATGTCATCTAAATGAAGAATATTGCAGCCCACTGTAAAATCTGAGGGAGTTTTTTTACATCGCATTCTACCTACTGTGTGTTGCTATTAAATTATTCCCAGTATTCAGTAAGATCAAGTGATTGTTGCAAACTGGTTTGTCTTTGAAGCCGATCCAACAGTACCAGTTTCTGTCATCTAAGAATGTGTCCTGTGGTGATATGTCCTATGGTTTCATGTCCTCAAAATATCCTCTAACTCAATCTCTTTTATTTCAAGCTGAATGGGAAAAACCTTTTGATCCACAATACACTAAAATGGGCAAATTCTTTGTGGATGGGAACAAGGCTGTTGAAGTCCCGATGATGTTTGGAATGGGCCTGTTCAAGCATGGCTATGATAACCAGCTGTCTTCCACTGTGGTGCAAATGGATTACAAAGGAGGCGCTTCAGCATTTTTTATTCTGCCCGATAAAGGAAGAATGAGGAAGCTGGAGAAAAGATTGTCTTGTGAACATATGTCAAGGTGGAGGTCATTAGTCACAAAAAGGTAAAATTCTGAAGTTCTTGGTTCAGATGGTAGGCAAGGAAACAAATGTGCTGGGCTATGACACAGAATCAGAACACCATTTTTAGTTCTGTTTTATCTGCAGAAGTATTCCCACTGACCAAAGTTGAATCTGGCTCTCTGGTGTCACTGTGTTTTTACATTCAGTACTGCATGCACTGAAAACCTTCACAGCTTTAGAACTTTTTCCATTTCTGCAATTTTTTTCCCATATCCAACTCCCAATAGGTCCCTGTTTTTGGACTTAGACCTCTACTCATATTTTTGGGGGAAGTCTTCTGCCTTCTTCTATTTACAAGTAAATTCCTACCACTTCAGCCTTTTTTCTTGTCTCTTGCTTCTTTTCTACCTATTAAAATTAACAATAATTGCACAGTTAATGCTGAAAGAACAACTTCCATTCGGCAATCATGAGGGCAAAGCACGTTGCAGAGCCACTATATTCAGGCTCTCTGAGGTCTTAGGAAGGCAAAATTGGAACAAGCTACACTTGTTTCAAGGTAACTCTGAGCCTAGAAGGCAGAAAGGTTATCTGCTTTCTAAAAATAATTTTATACTCCTTACATTTAGTGTCCTGTATGGTACTCGCCTTTCATGGGACAAAATGTGTTGTACAAGCATAGGCAAAACATGTTTATAGTATCAAGCCCTTGTGCTCACTTATGAATTATGCATCAAGTTAGTGATCTTCACACATACTCACTTGAAAAACTTATTTTTGATGATCCTTTTTCAAAAGAAAAATTGCATCCTAATACAGAAACCCAAAACCAGTGTCATGCTCCTAACTCTGATTCACTGTTAAATCTCATCAAAAGAATCTAAATTTTTTTAATTTGGAAAAAAAAAAGGACCAGGAAAAAAAAATAATTCTCTGTGCATCTTAACAGTTTTGAAACTTATGGAAGCAACTACATAGTTTGTGACTATAGGACAAATAAGGTGGTGAATCAAGATACATATGTATAATTTTTGTCAAAGAAACACAATTGCCTTTAAAACTACCAAGAAAGACACTAAATAAGGTTGAGGGGATTTATATTTCCTATCTTATAATATAAAAAAGCATCACTGTCAAAAACAAGTTTGTTTCCTGCTGCTCCCCATTTTTCATAATGACCATTCTTTCCTGCAAACTGATGACACGAACTCCTCCTTTTACCTCTGGTTTTCAAAGCAATTGATTGCCTCTGCTCTTATTCAGAGTCTCTGGGAGGTCTTAATAAATGGGCTTGAAGTAGTACATAGAATGATTCAAGGGCTGTGGGCAAGCTATGTTTGTCCCTGTTTCTGTGTCTGCAAACTGATATGAGTTGCAGAAGTGTTGTGAGGGGCATTTTTCATTACTGTTGGCTGCCAAACAGTGGATAGTGCCAAAGTTTCACCAGTACAGGCAGCTGAGATCTATTTAATGGCTGAACTGTGGAGAAAGCATCACTTTCACTTCTGAAAAGTGCATCCCGGGGCTTCCTTCCTGGTTGCACTGTTGCTGTGGCTTTCTCTTTCCTCCATATTGAAAGAAAGTAGGGGCTTGTGAAGGAATGTCTTTACACAACAGTAAGATGGATGATTCAGTGATAATTGCATCATCATTTGGGACAGCAATCAGCATAGACTGAAATTAGGGAGAACTAAGAGATCAGCAATCAGTTATCAATCCTGTAGCACTTTCATTTCTGGGTACCAGCCAGACTTGGCATTAGATGCTGTGCAACACTTCAGGTATGGGCCCTTTCCTTTCCACTTGTCTGCTGGATGTCTTGCTCTCTGGCTAGCTTCATTAAGTGTTCCACATCTCCCTGACCTAGAGCCCTGGAGAGTTGTCCTGGTTTCTCACCAGAAAACAGTACCTAATGTCATCACTATTTCTAACCTCTGTCTCATTATGCTGCTTCTGGCTGTAAATGTTGTGTTTAACCCTTGAAAAGTAATTGTTAGATCTGTATGGAAAAAGTAAGGAAGAAATGAGTCAGAAGTATAGAGCTTTGGGTTATTTATGGAAAACAGCAAACTAGTCACTTAAAATTTGGTGTCAAACATTGGGCTTGACATAGAAAAATGATTATCTGTTGACTATCTATATTCTGTCAATGTGCTTTTGTTTTTTACTTTGTCATCCATTCTATCACTATTTATCATTGTCCTGCTTCTTTGGTATATATTTTTGTTTTCTCTGTCCTGATTTATATGATAAATACACAAGGCCAGCCAATGGGTTTGGTTTTTTTTGTTGTTGGTTGGTTTTTTTTTTCCAAAAATAACCAGTGAACTCACATGTGTTGGATTTTTTTTGTGCTCAGTCTGAGACACCTAAAGGAATCTCTTTTTCACAAGGTGAATCCTTTGCATCCTCAGTAATGGGTAATGATGAAGGTGTTTCCAGCAGATTGCACAAAAGATCACTTAACTTCTGAAAATGTTAGAGGAAGATTCTTAGGGAGGTGCAGTTGTGTTGTGCTGAATCACTGGGTCAATTTCACTGCTCTTGGGTTGGGTTACTGCAGACTGGGAGCCAGCAAACTACAGCCTTATCCTCTCAATCAGCCTTCCAATTGTCATAAATCTTCTTTTCTTCTCCTCAAATTAGTGTCAGTGTACATCTCCTTTGTGGGCTGAAAGAGTCTGCAGGTAAAATGTCTTGAGGGAGAAAGCAAAATCAGTTTCCCTAGTGAGTCTATGTTATTCTGTGATATGTGATCAAATGTTTCACTATACTTCTGTACTTCTTTTCTGGCAGCTCAGTAAATTTGTATCTTCCAAAATTCACTCTTTATGGGACATATGACCTAAAAAATATCTTATATAAAATGGGCATTATGGATCTGTTCACTGATAAGGCTGACCTCTCTGGGATCACTGGACAGCCCCAGCACAGAATTTCCCAGGTAAGTCATACTGCTTTTTGTTTTATGGGCCTATGGTTACTGATACTTGCATCACTTTCTGTGCAACTATTTGTGATGCAAAACTCATGCAGAAAGGCTTGGCTTCACATGAAAAGGTAGTTGTTGGCATATAGAGTATTTTGTCCATGCACTGTAAGTGCAATTGGGTTGGAGCAGGTTACAAGTCTGTAATTTTTTAATCTAGAAGGCTGTTTCGATCTACCTGGGGGCAACCTTATAAAACAGACATGACCAAATTGCCATCTATCCACACCTCACTACCTTCCTGCAGTGTGCTGTTACAGTCACTACATTGCTGCTTCTGTTTGCATGTGTCTTCTTTAGCCTGATTGTGGGCAAGTATGGACTATAGGATGTGTCACCACTTGTGTTTTATGGAGGGGAGGGGAGAGGAAAAACACTTCTTGCTTTTAAACTGTTTAGGGGAAAGGAAAATGCAGTTAGTATAAACATTTGGCTTCAAGCCTATGAACAATGACTCTCATTAGTGTCAGCCCAAGGTAAAAGCTACAGACAGGTCATACTTCAATGAACCTAGAGTTAAAACTGACAATCAGTGCAACTTTAATTGTCTAATATGAAGAAAACAACTGCCCTCATGACCTCAGGAGGATGTTAGTAAACCAGGATCTGTCAATGTCTTGACTTTGCAAGGTAAAACATAGGTTTCTCTGCTCTAGCCCTCCATTTCTGGACCTTCTCCTTTGCTATCATTATTTCCAAGACATGAAGGAACATAGAAAACATATTCTCAGAATTCTATCAATTGTGCTAGTCTGCATGTTATTTTTTTAGCTATATGAACTTTTAATAGACAATTAAATATGGTCTTGCTCTCTAAACATTTGGTCTAGCTGTACAGATCTCCAAGAGTGGGTACAGGGAATAAGAAAAGAAACAAAGCAAATGTTTTCACTAGTGGGGACATGTATCTCCACTGGAAATAAACTTTTCCTCTCTGGGACCAGAGCTATGCTGCATGTAGCTTGGTGATTCTTTTTCCGCTTTGCTGTCTTTATGCAGTGGACTCACACCTGTCAATCTGATGCTTGTTTCTTACCAATAACTTCTTCAGGCATTTTTAGGTCACATTCTTATTTAGGTGACTATTTTTGTACCCCCTTGACTTGTACATGTCTGTTTCTTCACAGGCTATTCATAAGGCTGTGATAAAGGTGGATGAGACTGGCACCGAAGCAGCAGCTGCCACAGGCATGGAAATAGTGCCTATGTCCGTTCCAGTTACCATTAAACTCAACAGGCCATTCCTAATGGTCATAACTTTGGAGAACAATATACTTTTCATGGGAAAAATTGTGAACCCTCTGAAAAGAGATTAAGTTAATGTACATATTGTGTAAGTGGTGATCACCACTCTTAAATCAAGTATTTGACCTGATGAGTATGGCATGGCTGCAGAGGGGCTCTCTGCCTCTTAACTGACGTTATTCATTGTTTTTTGTAGATGAGACTCTTCATCAATTTAAGTTGTCATAGTTGCTTGTTTGTTTGGGCCTTGCTTTTTTTTTTTAAGAAGGTTGCATTCAGGCAGAACTTTCATTAGGTCCGGGATAAAGTAGGCCTGTGTGATACTGATAGCATAGATACATCTTCTAGCAGGGAAGCTGAAGAGCATGTGGGTGGAGAGAGTTGTGTACGTCTGCTTCTTCCCTCATGGCTGCCTTCTCACATTTTTTTTGTGTTGACTGACAAATGGGTACAAGCTATGTCACTTTATTAGTTGTGTCCCTCTCCTACCAACACGAAGTTTGTAACTAGCATAGACCTTAACATGCATAATGCTTACTACCTTGCATAGTACCATTGTTGTCCAGTGAGTCTAATACATCCTTGCTTTTCAGCTGTTGTCCCAGCTTGGCTGCTGCAAAGGGGTCTCAAAGAAGGTGTGTTTTACCCCTGCAGATATATACTGGCCTGCCCACAGTTTCTGTGAAATGTACAGTCCAGACTCATTACAGGGCAAACTTTAGAGGTTCTAAGAACTTGGTCTAAGAAAAAAAGAGGTAGATCTAATCTGCAGTTCATTCCCCAGGAGCCAACTTTCATGAATCAGATATACAGCTCAGAGCAGTCAGAAGACTACTTCTAGCCTGCGCCTGCACCTAAACTAGCTTCTAGAAGCCCCCAAGCAGCAGGAAACACAAGCCATCTCCTTCTGGTGCCAGTGTCTGCACCATTACTGTCTGTACCTGGGAGATTACCCATGGTAGTAAGCGCCATTCCAGTATTGTTTGTAGGATCAAGCACCCTACCAGTAACACCTATATCCCATCAGTGACACTTGCCGTGTCTCTTGATATAACCCCTTCTGTTCTCAGACTGTCCAGTAGTACAACATTGGTACTCTCTTTCTCATCTGCTTCATGGTTAGTATAGTCACAATATTATAAAGAGCTGTTTTCACTGTTAAGATACACAATACTCAAAGTCACATTCATAATGAACATGCTTTTTTTTTCTCCTGGTTTACCTTCTTATCTATGTTTTTTCTTCTGGTTTTCACAACATCCATCATTATTTTATTTCTTTGCTCGTGTTCATGGTATGTATCTGATCTCTGGTTGCAGGAGGGGTAAATTATTGACTAAAATGGGTTAGTCTGTTAATAGGTATTAAGCATTAACACCAGTCTTTGTACAGCCTTGAAATATGCAGACAAATGTACTATGGTAGAACAACATCAATGAATAAACATGACATTTAAAAGTTTCTAATTTTGCTATTTTACTTTTGTAGCTCAGACTTAAGTATGGTTCAAGCTGGTTTTTTTGACAGATGTCAACAACCAGTTATTAGTTTACTGTTCATATACATTAGATTGGCACAGTAGTACTAATGCCAGTAATGAATTTCAAAAAGCCGTCTGTCTCTAGCCTGGGCAGTAGGTTATCTCCGTTAGGCAGAAGACTTTGGGAAGGTTGGGCATTCCTTTGATGCAGAGATGTTTACTTCAAAGCCTATAGAGAGCAGGCTGTTTCTACTCTATCAAGTGTGTAGCTTCTGTATGTCTCTCATCTCTCTTCTAAATAGTTCTCTCTTGACTCCCTTGACAAAACCGAGGGAATGGCCTGAATTTGTGTCAAGGGAGGTTAAGGTTGGGTGTTAGAAAAAGGTTCTTCACCCAGAGGGTGGTTGGGCAGTGGAACAGGATCCCCAGGGAAGTAGTCACAGCAACAAGCCTGACAGAGTTCCAGAAGCATTTGGATGATACTCTCAGGCACATGGTGTGATTCATGGGGATGGTCCTGTGCAGGGCCAGGAGTTGGACTCGATGATCCTTGTGGGTCCCTCCCAGCTCAGTGTATTCTGTGATTCTGTAATAGATATGTTATCAGTCTCAGCATGTGTTTTGAACTGTGTTTCCTGTTATTCCATAAACAAAAAAAACAGGCTGTCTAGATTACACCTTCTTTATAATAAATTATGACGGGGAAAAAAGAAAAGTGTTAGAAGCTGTCAGCTTTCTGTAAAGGAAAACACTTCCAAATTAAAATCACAGTGAAGATAAACTCATTTCTGTAGCATTCAAGTAAGGCAATAAGAAAAAATAAATGTAGTGCTTCCCAAACTGAAAATTAAGTGTACTAAATTTGCCTACATCACTGGATCCATAGCAAACCTTGACTGAGGGTATTTTTCTACAGGCTCTTACAGTTATTTGCATTTTACATCAATGCAGAGGCACTGCAGATCTTGCTAGGTCACAAATAATTTTCTAACTTAACCAGATCTTGCAGCTTACTTTCCTGTAAAAATGTACAGCAATCCATTTTGAAGTAAATCCAAGAAACTCTAACTTGAAAAAGAAAAAAAAGGCATAGTTGCACAAAAAAACTAAATTAGAATTAAGAAAAATTTCACAAAATGGAAGCCATTATCCGACCAGTGAATGCCCCCTTGAAAAAAGAACAATCCCACAACATCAAATCTAAAACTGTAATAAGAAAGGACAAGGGCAACTTTGAGGGAAAGAAACTTGCAGAAATCATGTCACATGATAATATGTTCTTTTTCAAAGACATCATTTCAGAGAGCCTGAGGGGCCAGTGGATGTTCAAAGTGTAGAAGAAGTGCTCAAAGGGGGCACTGGCAAAACAGGAAAGCTCAATTCATTGCACATGTGCTTCCTTTGCAGTGTGAACCACTATTCTAAGTTGAACTAAAAATAGAAGAGTCTTCAGGGAAAAAAAAAGTAATCAAAGAGCAGGTAGCAACAAATCGCCAAGACTGTTTAGTACGCATGCAAGAGACCTTAGCCGTCTCAAAAAGATACACATCTCACTTTGATGCAACAGTTAAACTGTCTCTGCACCAGAGTAATAAGAAGTGACAGTTTTTTCAAAAAGATGTAAGTGAACATGCAGTGAGTTGCAGAACAGTTAGTTCAACTTCGCTTTTTGGGAAAATGCAGAATTTGTAGTTATGTATTATGAATAAGTATGAAAAAACATTGAAGAACTCACATGACCATCATAGAAACATAGAATATTTTAGGCTGGAAAAGACCTTTAAGGTCAACTCCAACCCTTAACCCAGATCTGTCAAGTACACCACTAAACCATGTTCCTATGTGACACATCCACACATCTTTTAAGTATAGCCAGAGATGGTGACTCCATTGCTTCCCATGGCAGCCTGTTGCAGTGTTTGACAACCCTTTCAATGAAGAAATGTTTCCTAATATCCAATTTCAACCTCCCCTGGAGCAACTTGGGGTCATTTCCTCTTGTCCAATTGCTTGCTACTTTCAGAAAGAGACTGACCCCATCTTGCTACAAACTCTTTCCTCCTTTCAGGTAGTTGTAGAGAGCAATAAGGTCTCCTCTCAGCCTCCTTTTTCCCAGGTTAAACAACCCCAGGTCCCTCAGCTTATCCTCATCTGATTTACTCTCTAGATCCTTTGCCAGCTTCAGTGTCCTTCTCTGGACAAGTTGCAGCACCTCAATTTCTGTCTTGTAATGAGGGGCCCAAAAATGAACACAGGATTTGAGGTGCGGCCTCGCCAGTCCCGAGTACAGGGGCAGGATCACTGCCCTGGTCCTGCTGGCCACACTATTTCTGATACAAGCCAGGATGCCATTGGCCTTCTTGGCCACCTGGGCACGCTGCTGACTCATGTTCAACTGGGTGTTGGCCAGCATCCTAGGTTGTTTTCCACTGGGCATCTTTCCAGCCACTCTGCCCCAAGTCTGTAGCACTGCATGCGGTTGTTTTGACTTGACACTTAGGGAGACAGTGTCAAAGGTTTTACTAAAGTCCAGGTAGACAATATCCACAGCCATTCCCTCATTCACTTAGCTGGTCACCTTGTCACAGAAAGAGGTCAGGTCGGTCAAGCAGGATCCGCCTTTCATAAACCCATGCTGGCTGGGCCTGATCACCCAGTTGCATGCTATGTCACGGCACGCAGGATTGATCTGCTCCATAACATTCTCCAGCATTGAGGTCAGGCTCACTATCTCGTACTGTCCCAGATCCTTCTTCTGGCCCTTCCTGCAGATGAGCATTGCATTTGCCAACCTTCAGTTGTCTGGAACCTCCCTGGTTAGCCAGAACTGCTGATAAATGATTGAAAGGGGTTTGGTGAGCTCTTCCACCAGCTCCCTCAGTGGGTGGAATCCTTGGGTGGATTCCATCCGGCCCCATAGATGTGTGTGTTTCTAAGTGGTGTAGCAGGTTGCTGACTATCTTCCCTTTGGTTATGGGGGCTTCGTTCCGCTCCCCATCCCTGTCTTGCGGCTCAGGGGTCTGGGTAGCCTGAGAACAACTGGTTTTACTATCAACAACTGAGGCAGAGAAGGCATAAAGTGCCTCAGCCTTTTCCTCATCCATTGTCACAATGTTCCCTCTCACATGTAGTAAAGGATGGAGGTTCCTCTTAGTTACTTCTTATTGCTAATGTATTAACAGAAATATTTTTATTGTCTTTTCCAGCAGGAGACAAAATCCTTTGCCAAAGAATTCTTTTAAAGAGTTGATCTGTCCATATATTATAATGGTTTGATTGATATATGTCACATACTTCTGAAAACATATAATATTCCCCAGGGAAGGAGCTAAAAAAAACCTGTAAGCTAGTGGGGGGGGAAGACCCTTAATAAGCAATGAGCTCAGGCATACATTATTCAGAGAAGTCAAAGATGATGTGGGACTTTAATAAATTGTGAGGTGACACATTTTCCCAGTGGTTTCACCTTTTTCATTGGGAATAATTTCACAGTACACATTGGCTGGCTGATAAAATGTCAGAGGAAAATCACTGCCAGGAAATATAAGGTAAAGAATCCAAGGAAATCATGGCTAGGCTTCGCAAATGAAGATTTGGGAAGGACTCTACCCACATTTGCTACAAGCGCGCTGGTGGCTAAAGAGGCCAATGCGAGATAGACA